ATCAATGCTCAGAGTAAGTTTCGACGTTCTTATGGAAGGAAACCTCCGTGCAAAACCAATAATGCGATAGTATGAAATGCTTAATGAAATAGGGATAATGTTCTTTCCAGAAGTGAAAAGTCGAGTGTGAGTGAAGCAGTTATTGAACTTAACACTTGGTGGAAACTGAAATACCGCTTAGACATTTTCAAGCTATCAAGTGGACACATTTTGAAATATTTGCTATTGTAAATGGTCTTATAAAAAAATTCATAATAATACTTATAACTTATCAAACAAAAATGTACATCTATTTATTACAGTTTGAGCACAATAAATATTTACAATCCGGACATAAATGTTTTGGTTTAGCTTTGAAATTTTTGTGAACAAGTTTTTGAATAGAATGAAGAAATATTTAAATCATACTCTGCTTTAAATTCGTCCTCGACGCTTGGAAATTAATAGAAACAAATCCTTCTCAAGTTTTACAAGTTATCGATAATACAACAGATAATAGAATGAATTATTAATAGTTCTATCCTTAGGAAGTATCGATGTTTATGAAACCAAATTCTCTTTGTTCTATAAATAAGTAATATCCAATTTTGTCCCATAAATTTCATTATAATTGATATTTATTTCATTTTTTATTATATAATTTCAAAATAAAATTCACAGAATTGTTATTTTGAGGAATTACTCATTGAAATATATTTCAATAATATTTGATGCGTTATTTTAATAAGCATAAAAGTCTTTCAGAAAGATAATTGATAAATCTAGAAAATCCTCAAAAGAACGCGAGAAATCCTTTTGTAAAGGTTAATTTCATCTGTCTTTCAGCTCATTTTGTGATTCGAATAAACTTTCCCAAAATATTTGATGAAATTATCTCATTCACGTGGATTTCCCCCTTGGGATTTATTGTACAATTAAATAATCCAAATGAAGAAACCTCTTTCTATTCATCTAATAGATATCCTTCCTCTAATGGAAATATTCAAACTTTGTTGGGGGCAATCGTCTAACTAGATGAATTAAAGTCATCTCTCAATCGATTCTAATTATGTTTGACAGGGATGTACAGTGTTCCAGCATTGTGAAAGTGCCAGTCTTTTCAATATGTAAAATACATTAGAAAATATATATATATATATATATATATATATATATATATATATATATATATATATATATATATATATATATATATATATATAGTATAATAAAATTTATGCATATAAAAAAGGATGTTTGTATATATGATCTCGCTTCACTCAACATCGTTCTACCGATCACTATGAAAATTGGCATGTATGCGTATTTTTTGTGGAGAAGGGTTTTGGGCTATCCTCTTTGCTGCAGCTCCCCACCAGGTGGTGCTACGGTATATCAACTTCTACACCGTTTAATCAATCGCCAAATTGCCAACAGGGTCACCAAAAATGATGCCAACTTAGCCCTATCACCAACATTTCGCTATGTTTCCATTGAATCGCCATTATAATGTAAAGAACGGCGTTGCTTGTGAATATTACAATTTTAATATAAAATAAATATAACAAAAAATAATATAACGAAAGTAATTACACATCCAGTTATAAATTATTTACACTATTTTAAGCGTTCATTTCACAAAATTTGTAACAATGTGTTATTTTTACTGAGCCGATATCAGATTAGGAAGGTGTTTTCACAAATCGATTCACAGGAGAGTTACGAGGCATTATAAATAAAAAAAAATCCTTTTCATCAGCTATTACATCAACAGACTTAAAATTTAACAAACATGGTTGTTGTTTTGTTCAGCAGATATATGCAAAAAGCTCTTTTTATTGTTGTTTAATTTCCAATTCACGTAAAATTAACTCATCAAAAACTTTATCCTTCAATCTGTATTGTTTCATTTTTCTATTCCCCCGTGCGATGAACGGGTAACAGTAAAATAATGAAATACAAATTGTAATTACTAGAAAGCTAAGAATGAATGAAATTGGATTTTAAAAAACTTTTAAAACCCCGTCAAAACAGGAGTAGGCATAAAAAAAGTCAATAGATTAGAAGGGAAAGATATATATATTCCGAGGGGTGAGATAGTAGGCAGCATGGGGACGACAAATAACCATAGAACATGAGGTCGCAAACTACGTTTAGTCAGTGAAAATCGCGAAAATAGTAGCTGTCGGGAGGATGATGAGCCAGTCGAGGTGAGTGGCTGAACAAATGCGGGGATATACATATACAGTCAACCCACCTATAACGTGGTACTCTCAGAACGCGGTTTCCATATGACGTGGAGCTGAAATTGCGACAACCCTCCTATAACGCGGTACTCTTACAGCGCGGTTTTCATTCAACAACGTCCCATCAGTTCTTTCCGTGCATCCAATGAATGGTTTTAATTGGATATCGTCGGTTTAATTATCAAACTGCTTAACTCCATCTGGGATGCTAATTTAATACAGTAGGGCTAGGCACGATGCTGTTGTTTATGTTCGCCAAGATAGGCGATAATATTACAATATGGTTTATTTGATATTTTTATCGTGCGATAATGTGGTTGCCATGGGGATAACGTATATTAGTGTTAGTTTTTTTTTTTTTTTTCGCTGGATCTCGCAATTTCAGCAAAAAGTAACATTGTTACAAATTTTATTATGTGAATGCTTAAAATAGTGTAAATAATTTATATCTGGGTGTAATACATTCATATTACTTTCTATTGTATTTATTTTATGTTAAAAATCTTGCCACCACCTCTCCCTTCGAAATCCTAGTTTTATTATGAAATAAAAAAAGAATTGATTACACTGATCAGGGAATAGAATTAAAAAGCAGAGCACGCACTGGAAACATGGCGTAGACAAAACAAAATGAATAAGGAATCACGCCAAAAAAGTTTTGGTGTTCTCCATATAACGCGAGGTACGAATGATGTGAGGATTTGTGTACTAATTCTGAGTTTTTCTCATAGTGCGGTTTCCATACAACACTTGTTAGACGGTTTCCATAGGGCAGCGCTACGAATTAACCTGGTTTGTACCTGCGGTTAAATCCGAGTTTCTTATATCGCGGTTTCCATATAACGCGGTACGCACTCTCCGCTTTATAGGAGGGTTGACTGTACTGCCCGAACGCCTAAATGATGCAAAATACCTTGCTTTCCTACAGCATGCCCTCCAGTAGTTATTGCAGGGAGTATCGGCCACTGCACACCAGAACGCGTGGTTCATATATGATGGTGAACCAGGGCATTTTTTGATAGCTGGGAGTAACCACCTCCACGCTACATATCCAAGGAGTTGGATTGGAAGGGGTGGACCTATTGCTTGGCCTCCACGCTCATCGGACCTCAATCCTTCGGATTTCTTTTTCTGAGGCACATGAAATTGCTTAAGTACGAGACGTCGGTGGCTACAGTGAAGGATCTCATGGTACGAATCGTCATCGCTTCAACTGCATAGCCAGCACACCGGACTTGATTGAACACTTCTGATAATTCTTCGCCCATCTGTGGCGGTTGTGCTATACAAATTTGTCAAGTTTTGAGTGAATGGAAGTTGATAAATTTGTAATGGACCTTATTCGACAAACATCTTCAGAATTATGGATATGTATGGAATTACGAAAAAATCTGAAAGATATTGCAAAACATAAATTTACAGCTATTTTGTAAATTATTGAGTGTCATTTCTGGAGAGATTTAATTGTTTGAAGAGAGAAAATTGCATGTACTCTGCTTTCCGCTTTTGCTTCTATATACAGTAAAACCTGTTTTTGTTCGCCCTTTTTTTTATGCGATTTTATTTTTGTGGGATTTGTTTTGTGCGATTTTTTTTGCTTGATATTTTTTTTTTGTGTGGTATATGAATTTCAACGGTTTGGACGCTACTGTAATGTTTTCTATCCATGTACATACATACGCTTCAAGACGCTGTGGTCATTAGTTACAAACAGTCTAACGGACATGAAGAACCGGATACTTTGAGAGCGGATACAATATATGCTGAGCTCCAACTTTCCAACAAAGCGGAAAAGCATTTTCTTAAAATAGATACCAATTCCGAAAGGAGTTTGAAATTCCAAAAAGTGCTTCGAACATGCATATCTGGTTATCGTGCCATTTACAAGCAACTGTCCAACCGACCGTCGTCTCAAAAACTTATCACTTACTTTATGTGGCGCCAACAAATAAATTAATTGAAATTGTATCTTCAAGTGACAAAAAAGCAATTTTGAACTAATTCATCTTCGGAAGATGCGCGCTTTGGCTTACGATCAGTAGCAGTGAATTACGTACGAGCATTTTGAAAATTTCTCCATGTATACAATGAGAAATTAAATGTTTTTAAAATATTTCCATGAAAAAATTTAGTTGTTTATTTCATTTGGAAAAGTACTTTCTCATAAATTTCGTAAATAATTGACATATTTTTTAAATGCGACTTTTTTATGCGGTCCTTATCCACCACATAAAAAAAAGTTTTCTGTAGCATGTCGCCAAAATTGTTTGTTATAAAATAGTATTTATGAAATTTTTTCGAATATTTTTTTTTTGTGCTTTTTCTTTTATGCAGTCCCTATCTACCACACAAAAACAGGTTTTACTGTTTCTAAGAAAAAAAATATTTTTAAAAATATTTCGATTCCGCAAAGAAATTGTTTTACAAATGAATGCTCAGAATTGCTTAAGAGAGAGAGAGAGAACTCCGAATTACACCTCTACCGCGCATATGAAAACTGAGCGGTGCAAGCACTAGGCTCTTGTATTAAAATTTTTATTCATCGTTTTATTTAACTATAATGAGAGGAAACACTTATATATATGTTTTTTATGTGTTGTCTATTTATTAAAGTTATACTTCTTTTGGGGCGTTAGAGAAATAGGATGAGGGTAAATTTTTGCAACGCACGCGCACATGCGAAAATCCTTTGTCTAGAAATATACAGAAAGGGACACAAATCATTTCTGCCTTCAAAATCCCCCCCAAAATTATTTCTCTTCACTTCCCTGAAGAAGGGAGCATCCGGGCTTGAACCGGGACCTCTTTATCTGTAGTCGAATGCTCTACCACTGAGCTATACCCCCGCGGTAGCGAATCTTTGCTTTGCATTCCGTAGGAACGGATACAAAAATGCGTTGTCTAGAGATATGCAGAACGGGACGGATCATTCCCACCTTCGACCCCCTCCCCATATTATTGGTCCTATTATCCCTTTGTGGGGGTGTTTAAATTTATTTAAATCGTGATTATCTCAGGTTTGGCTGGTCCGATTGATATCGTTCAACTCTGCTCGTGACCGCCTTTCGTCGTTGGCCCAGCTTGCACTGCTAAAGATTTTTAGAAAGATTTTAATCGTGTTATGCCAAAGAAGTATAACTTTTTACGTGCGTACATAAATTATTATAAGTTTAAGCATATTTATTTTAATAAATATGCTTAAAAGTATTTAATACATATACAATTGAAACTCTTTTTATTTTTGTGAAATAAATAAATATAATTTATGCTGCTAATTTATGATTATGCTGCTGATTTTATGTAATAAAACTGTTAATCTCTATTCTCTAACCTTACATGACTTATTATGGGAGTCGAAATGCGTTTCAAACATGTTCTACTGTGTGGTACTCTAAATCATTTTGGTAAATTGGTTTGAGTGCGTCAGAGCTAAAAGGTTACTGACCCCTGTCCTAGCTCATCTTCATTAATTATAGTTAGCTGGATTACGCAACTTCTTGATTAATGAAGTTTGAATAAAAACAACAAAATCTTACTGAGCATTACTATTACAGAACCTATCCGATTGGTAGCATTGAGGGTGAAAGGTAAAAACTGTAAATACAGAGAAAGAAATTTTCTTTATTCTTTCTCGAAAAAGATCTTTTCCTTTTGTTTTGCGACTGAATTAGTTTATCTCGAAGGGTTTTTCAATTATCTGTTTAAGTGAGTTTCAAATTTGTTTTCGCCTCGACTTGGCGACTTATTCACATTAAGTTTCTATCGAGGGTGTTTATTTTAAAGCTATTATCTTTAGGAACTTATTTCAGAAAAATTTTATTCTTACTTTAGTGTCCATTTCTTTCAAATGAAATGATTTACATTTCTGTGAGACGGAGCCTTTAATTGTAATTTAATACTATATCTAAATGGTTATTTTTTTTACTATATATTTTAATAAACGTTGCGTTATATGTTTATTTTTGAATTTTTTTGTTTTTTATTCAAATATGTTGGTTTTTTCTAAACATTTGGTGACAAAATTATCTTCATTAATATTTGAAAGCATAAATCTATTTTTGCACTGATATTCAAAAGAAATTCACTCTTTTCAAAATAAAACAAAAATGTTATTCGTATTTCAAAAAATTCATTCATTTTTATTAAAATTACTCAGTTATTGTACAATATTATTTTAAAACTTAAATTTAGTTTTTTTATATTGTGAAACCCTTCTCTTTGGTTATCTGCGTGAACTAGAGGTGTAGGATTAACAAAAGGACCAGACGTGTCCATGTTCTTAATATGACTTTATTAAGAATTTAAACTTAAACTTTTAACAGATTACATAATGATATATATGAGAGAATCTCTACGATGAACAAACACACAATACAAGTAATACCGAAATAACCTAACTCGGACCACTATCACTATCTAACCCGCCTAATCTTAATTCCAATAATATCGCAAGTCCTAATATTAAATAATCAACCCTAACTTAATTAAATCGTTGATCCGATACTAAGGAAGTTGCGTCTTTACTCGAGTGCAATGGTATGCACCTTGACCTAATGGTCTATCTTCGATAACCTCAGTTGGCTGTCACTTCACGATTTGTATCAATCTCTAACAAAACATTCCCCAAATTGCCATACCGCTTACTGAAACTTCTGATATTTAAAAGCTATCTAATTTGCATCTTTCCTTCACGCTTCACTTCTTGGGTTTTGGTTGGAAAAGAGTTGCCATTAATTCTGGCCCCAACGAACCCAAAGGACATGTTAATGAAAAGACGCGTGAGCCTGTCACACAATGCCAATTTTCAAGATAAGCCAAGATGGCAATCCCGATTTCGGATGTGTCGTCACAATATATATATGATTAAAAGCTGTTTTCACCATATGTACGAGAGCGTGAACTTCATACGGAGCACATTTTCCAACAGAAGAAATGCCTCAGTTTTTATAAAAATTTGTGACATTGTAACTCATGCATTTGTTTATAATATAGGGTTTTTAAAATTTCAAAATATCTCATAAATAATTAGTTTTACCTTTTAACATGTAAAGGGATAGCTCGTTTAGCATTATGGTATAGGAGAAAAAAATGCGGAACACATTTTATAAAAGAAAAAATGGGTCAGAGCTCGGATAAAAATGAGAAGTGTGATAAAATAAGTGATTCTCTACAGGATAGTGAAGCCAGAATATAATATTAACGTTGGAGTATTTTATATCTGAAAATATATCCCAAATTTGGTCCCTATTCTTTAACATTAGCCGAAGACAGCATTAAACATTTTAGTTTTCTTAAAATAGTAAAGCTCACTTATTTACTTCAAAAATCTCTTTAGAAAATTGTTTTTTAAATTTAAATCATTTTTTTTTAATGTTTTTAAAAAAGTTCTCATAAACATAAAAATTCTCCCGTTTATAGTTCTTTACAGAAAGCATAAATTACTCTCTTTTTAAATACTTAAAAAAATTCCTATATCTGCTATGTATTTTCCTGTACTGCGTTCTTCTATGACATGCGATATATAAATATTTAGTAAAATATTCTAAAACTATTTGAAGGATATATATCAATGTATTTTAAACCTAAGACCGCAAACTTACAAGACAGCTGCCTATCTAGTAGATAAAACTCTGTTGCGATGCTTTTGAATCTTCGAAGGGATTTAAAATTTCTCCTCAGATTTCTTCATTCTTTTTTGAGGCCCTGATCTTTCTCTCAATAGCTTCTCTAAATCTCGCTCAGAAAAAGATTTTATATCTTTATATTTCGACGCTTTATCCTTTTGCAATTTTACACAAAAAAATTATCCAAAGCTTTTTTTTTTTTTTGAAAAACGTAAAGGGAAATATTTGAGGAAGTAAATAAGGAATTCTGTTACAAAAAAAAAAAAAAACTGAACTTACTTATTTTGAAATATTTTAACTATGCTTTTTTTGTTGAAGAATACTATTTATAAAAAATTTCTTGGTAAAATTTTTATTTTACACTAGCTTCATAGCCCGGCTTTGCACAGGCTTTCCCTTTCTTTCATGACGCCAACAATTATGTGTGTGTGTTTGTACGCGCGCAATGTGAGTGATATCTAAAATTATTTCGTTAAATTTCCCTTTTTCGAAATTTGTTCCACATGTTTTCGATTTAAAACAGGTTCCCCCCCTCTCTCTAGCCTGGCATAACACGGGGTTTTTTTACTGTAAATTATTGTTCCCTCTTCCCCTCCCCCCTCACAGATAAGATATATCTTCAAATTTCGATGTATGACTTTTAAAAAACAATATTGCAATAGTTAAAAAATTATTAAATATGAAACAACAAAAAGAAAATGATTCTAATGTGCTAAGAGTAAAACACAAAAAACTTTCATCATTTTTTTTAATAATAGTTAGTTTCTAAGAAACTAAAATAATATAATAAATTTCAGATTTTAATGAATCAATCAATCGTTACTTATAGTTAGTTTAAAAATGTCTCTGAAATGTATTTTTATCCAAAATAATAGACGATGTACTTTTTAATTAACAAATAATTAATTTAGTAATGAAATAATAGAAATAATTCTTTTAAAAAACACACACATATATATATATATATATATTAATTAAAATCCATTTTCTATAAGTAATAAATAAAAGAAAAATTTACAGATAGCTACTGAACGATTGATTTTTTTTTAATGCTTGAATAAACATATATATATATATATATATATATATATATATATATATATATAAGTTATAAAAGCAGTATGGGGAAAGCGTAGATATATATTTACATGTACTGAAAAAAACATTCAAAAGAAAAAAAACTAACTGATAAAAACATTTTGATATTTTATTTTAATTTCATAGTTTTTCCTTCCACTGTCATTGTTACAAATTTTGTGTAATGAATGCTTAAAATAGTGTAAATAATTTATATATCAGGAAGTGTAATACATTAATATTACTTTTTGTTGTATTTATTTTATGTTAAAATCTTGCCACCACCTCTCCCTTCGAAATCTAGTTTTATTATGAAATAAAAATAGTGATTACACTGATGAACGGAATAAATTAAAAGCGTGAGTGCACTGAGGCATGGCTAGACAAAGCAAAAGGGATGAAAAAAGATAGATGAATGCTGTCACGGGCTTTTTTGCAAACGGCAGAATTTTTTCCTACTTCCTTGACAATTGTCCTTATATTTTGAAAACTTCACGCAATATCGTTATAAATTATAGCCTATGTGTTATTCTGATTTATAAGCTATATTATTGTAAGGTTTCATTAAAATCCATTAAGTTGTTTTTGCGTGAAAGACGGCCAAACATCCTCACAAACTTTCGCGTTTCAATAATATATGGATATTAGGATTTAGTAAAAGGAACTTCACACGAAAATAACTTTGAGTGAATTTGTATTTATTAAGGTCGCTCCAGAAAGCATTAAGTGGGCTATTGGCGACGAACCTCGTTCAAGTGAGGATGATGACACATTAGCTGACATATCACTCACCAAACTACCACACCACTCCAACGAAAGGACTCTGAGCCACAAAAGATTTTATTGCATCCCTCTCAACATGACGGGTCATCAATGGAACATGGACTCAAGACACGCCGACCACGTGTCCATGACCGGGAAATTATTTTAAGGATATCAGTTTTAATGTAAATGTAAACAAAAATTATGTAAGAGTTACAGTATCGCGCACGCGCACAAGGAGGGGGTCCAGGGTCGAAAGTGCACGATTCTCGTATCACGCTCCGATACGCCGCACAACATATTTTTTCGATTTTATCGACTTCCAGGAACAAAAACAGTTAAAAAATAATTATTTAATAAATAATTAGCATTAATTAATAATT